CTCCATTCCAGTAAGTTATTACATTGAAAAACTTGTCCCTCATAATTATTGTATGGATTTGAAACACCTTACTCTGTATTCCATAGTTACTAACCTAGAAAATATGCCTGCATCAGTCATACATAATGCTTCCAGTTGTATATTCATTTTAGTAAAAGTGCTATAGTTGCTTTAGTTATGCTGCATGTTGAATCCTGTAGTAGAAGGGTGCTTTACTTAACAGATTTGCAGAAATCAACCATCCCATTCTATGATTCAATGAATATGTTATGTAATCTAAATACATCTATAGCCAATCAGTGTAGATCTGTTTGGTAAAGAATTTAGAAGGGGAAAAAGTCTGTTTACCTCCTATTAATCTATAGGACTACTTTTATGGCTAACTCCAAGTTGATATTACTGTAAGCAAATGTAGTGGAAGAGGGAGCCTAGAACCCACCTGGTCTCCATGCAGTTTTTGTCTAGGCAAGTAGAATTTATTACTTACATACCTAGCTCAGGCTTATAATGTCAGTTGCTTAATACATAGAATAACACTTTTGATTTTATGATGCTTCTTGAATTCATACAATTAGTCCAAAAAACTAAGTAAGATGATCTGTTTTATTTTCCTCATATAAAACTGTAAAACTTTCATCTTATCAGGTAAAACTTGTATTTGATAATGTCTAGTCATGCATTGCAGTGCATCTTTTATTGGTGTTAGAGAACTGCATTATAAATGCAGCACTTATACCATCACCTTCTGATAGATTGTGTGTGTGGAGTGGGAGACTAATGTTCAAAATTATGCAGGCTTGTTTTTCAAGGTCCTGTTCTGAAAGCATGAGAGATGTATCAGCTGAAGATATAAATTTACATGCCCAACTTTGAAGAAATCTATATTTTACATACTGTAGGTTACCACATTTTAAGTAATGCTGTGCTCTTTTTGGACATACTAATTTTCATCTCTTCTTCATTTTGATTTTCCTTTATACTGACCATTGCATATTTTCTTCATCTCTAATGCATTCATTTTCTTGTGATATAATTAATGTGATATCTTCTTAAACTGATTAATAAGGTTTTTTCTAACAAATATGTCTCATGAATTTACCCATGTACTAAGAAATTTAATAGCCTTTAATGTAAATGGATACTGAGTTTATGAGGTTTCTTATATTTTGAGACTGTTTAATAATACATTTTATGTAATAATAAAACAGATGCAAAAGTGCAACAAAATATTTGCATGATTTAAAAAGGTAGAGAGATAGGAATAGAGAATTGTCCTGAAAAACATATACGAAAAGCATTTAATATTGTTAGAATAGTGGACTTAATCCACTGAATTTTGCTGGGAATGGAAGAGTTTTAAAATGTGGTATTAAAATATGCATTTTCCTGCTTGTTTCTGAGTGATATGAGGCAGTAAAACTTTTTATTGAAAAAGAAATATTGTATGGATAATTTATTGTCCTATATTTGTCATTTTATGTGTTTGGACTGATCCTTCCCTTAGGTGTTATGGGATTTAGAGAGTAAAATACAGGTAAGTGTTACAAAGATCAATGAGGCCTTCCATACAGTAAGTTATATTTCCTCTTAAATCTTGAGCAGCAGGGAAGAATAAGGGCTTAGTAGGTTACCAATAGTTAATGTGAGATTGTAGGTTTAATACGAAAGATATAAAAATTTAAGAGTTCTCAAGTAACTGAAAACCAGAAGGAAAATAAAAAGTACCCCTTTTGAAATTTTAATTACAGAAAATAAAAAAAATGGAAAAGAGATAAAGAAAAGAATGGGAGATGTATTAGTAGATTATGTAGGCAGCCTAGGTTTATTCTAGAAAATAAAGAGGCCTCTATTTCCTTAAATTAAAAATTATTTACTATGGTATGATATGTTTGTAAAGATGTTTCCCTCTGTTAAAATATTATAAAATAAGTAAGAATTATACTGACAGCATTATAGAATGCTCTGAAAAATTCAAAATTACCAAAAATCATAATGAATTGTGCAAAATGAAGCAAAGTAGCTGGTGAGATATATTATTTTTTCACCATACATCATGTTAGTTTAGAGGATCTTGCTCCAGCAAATGTTTAAGCTGTCTTTCCTTTATGTATGTTGAAGTATATTGCTAGATTCTACCTTCTGTGAATGGACAGTACATATATGCTCAGAACTGAAAATAATATTAATTTCAAAATTCACTCATTACAGTCATAATTCCTTGAATCATGTTATTGATATTTTTCATTATGTTCCAAGGGTTAAGAACAACTATTTATCACTTTAAGATACCAAAAATTTACAATTTTTAAGACTTCCTTTCTGTATTTTATTAGCTATGCACTGTCATCGTGTCTGTTGGATAATGCATACTTTACACTGAGTATATATGACTATTTTACATAATGAGGAACATCTTGAGAAACGTGGCTTTTACTTTTCTGCTGTTTGAGCTTTCATCTAAACCATTTTAACAAAGGCAAATTCAAACTTCAAACAGAGAAAAAAACCAAAAAATATTAGCCTAGAAACCCACAGTAATACAAATGTTTTTACCATGTACTTAAGGGTTATAGTACACAGTGTATAATTGTCACTATCTACCTAGATATTAGCTGTATTTACCATATTACATTATCTAACCTGAACCCAAGCCATGAAACAACCTAATCAAAATGCTAAATTCATATCTGAAAAATTATTAAAAGAGTAATGACTTATTAAATTTCTCATTTTTTCACTTAACAAATAAAGAAAGTTACTACAAAAATCACTTTGGTGGATTTTTGTATGTAAAAAATCTCATCATTTTGTCCTTGTCCATAGAAATTGTTAGAATTGTGTATAATTTTATGAGAAGCAGAGGGATTTGTGTGCTAATTATAAAGCATTCTGTCTTGTTACTGAATAAGAACGGGGCTTTTTAAGCATTGAATAGCCTTAGAATTGCTTCTCAGAGGACTAGCAGAGACAAGCATTTTGCAAAGGTTTCATGCTTGGCCTCTGGAAACAAAAAAAAAAAGAAAAAAGAAAAAAGAAACTTGGACAGATGCTCACTCCAAAAACAGTTTCAAGAAACACTATATAATTTACTGCATTCTTGGAAAGTAGTGCCAGAGTCTTCCTGGTTTGAAGACATGCCCTTGATTGTGACCAATATAAAAACTTTTGGAAGGCTGGAGGTATACAGATATAACTGAAACATTAAGCAAGCTGTTCAAGACTGAAGGTTGTATCATGCCACTGATTTTAAAGAAAATAATCCCTTTTGTTTCAAAAAGGACTTATGTTTAAAGATCAAGGGTGTATTAGAGGCTTCAGCATGCCATTTTATATTGATTTTTAATGGAAGGTGAACATGAATCCACAAATATTTACTCAAGTTGTTTGACGAGGTATATTCACATTATTTTTGCATTTTCTTCCTGCGAATACTCAAAGGATCCAGTTTTAGGAACATGAATGCCTTTGGGAAAGGAATTCAAGAATTGTGTGTATGGCTGTTCACAGAGACTGAATTTAAGCATTCTTTCCTGAGCATCCATGCAAGAAGACTTTATGCAGTACTTGCTTTCAAAAAATAGAAATAATATAATGTGCTATCTCTCAGCAATAAAAAAATACACTATTCAAATGTATGGTATTAATAAATCACGTGACAATTTTGAACATAATCGTATGTACTATATGCAATAATGAGGTCTAGCACATCCGAGTTTAGCACACTTGTAGGTCAAAAACAAGGAGCAGTAAATAATCAAACCAAAGTTCTTATCCCACTGTTCAGGTAGGTAAAAAAAAAAATAAAATTGGTAAGCAAAGAGCTTCTCTTTGCCAGGGAACTTATTTCAAATGCTAGATGACCCTCCTCTGCTGGAGAGGGGAAAAAAAAAAAGAAAAAAGAAAAAAAAAAAAAGATAAGAAATTAGGTGGTTGGTTTGTTAAAAATCAGAATTTCCTTACTGGTAGAATTCCTTGAACTGTTACTTAGCTTTCTTTCTAGAGTGATGAGTATAAACATCAAAGATAAATCCTTTGCTGTTATATAAAAAGAGTTGTTTATGTTTTTTAAGCATCTTGAGGACAGTGTTGTTTCTAAAATGCTGAAGGGCAGTAATTCTCATAAAGTTGTAAACTATGCAAAACAATCAAATTGTTTCCCTCTGATAGGCGTTATGTGACTGCAGCATTTTAGGTGTCTCTATTTCTATTCATTGCACATTTTCACAGCTGCTTTACTCCATGAACTTTTAAATATTTTGGTGTGGTATTTTTTGCTTTGATTTATAAAAGCAGATGATAATGAGCTTCAGCAAAAAAAAAAGTCTCATTAATACTTATGTCTATATTCATGTTTGTTTGTTGTCTTGAATACAGGTGAATCTGGTGTTGAAGAGTGGGCCCAGTGGAGTACGTGTTCAGTTACTTGTGGTCAAGGGTCGCAGGTGCGAACCAGAACTTGTGTATCACCTTACGGGACACACTGCAGCGGCCCTTTAAGAGAATCAAGGGTTTGCAATAACACTGCCCTCTGTCCAGGTAGTGTTAGCAGCCAATAAATAAAATTGTGGATGTTTTTGAACTGTATAATGATAAGAATTTGAAACTATATCTTTTTATTACTATTATTTTTAGTATGAATTTCACAAGGGCATTTCAATTAGAGCAGAGAAGTGTAATTCTGTTCATCTGTGAAATTTTGTCATGTAGATTGTTATTTTGACTTTTAGAATAGTCAAAATATGGAACAAGAGACCCTTTTTTCTGACTGTTTCAGATTTTTTTTTAAAGTCTCATTTTCACTCAGAAAAAATAAGATATAGCATGAGTACAAAATACAGACTAAGGAAGAAATCCAGATCATCAATACATTAAGAAGCACACAGTGATTAACAGGGTGGGTTAAGTTAACGTATATTATTTGACACTGCAATTGTTTTGCCATTTAGAATACTGTCTTCTAGTCAATGGGCCAGTCAATGTTCTCTGCACAGTAAAGTCTTCATAGACTTTCCTTTATATTGTTCTGGCAAGAAAGGGCAACAGCCACCCATCAAAGGAATAAAGATCAGACAAAAAGAAACTCTTACATCTGACATAAAGTAAAGGTCATCAGTATCTTGAATCACAGTTTTCCTTCTCCTTTTGTCTCAGAGATCTGGACATAGTTGGAGTTCAGCAGTAGTTATACACTAAAGAGAAGAGACAGGCATGTTCAAGTTAGTTGCTGAAAGGGCACATTTCATTTCTTTAGACACTACCTGTGGATCTGATTAATCTGGGATGAGAAGCAAAAGGGAAGGCATATGCCTTATGACTACATTCATTTTCCTCTGCTATGTCTGAAATGCAAAAAAAAAATATATGCCTCCTTTCAAATGCACAGATTCCTCAGCTCTTTGTAACATTTGATCCCAAAAGGGTGATGAGCCATCTTCAGCTTCTTGGGAAGCCCACTCTATTTTTGAAGTAAACTAAACTGTCATACACAGAGAATCCTCTAGACTTTATCTCAATATAATACTTAGAATCAAACTCTCACGTTTTTACTCTCTGTTGAAAAACATCCAACAGGAAGTGCATATATGATCCCATCAGAGTTTGTGTATCAGCATTATAAGCATTTAGGGAACATCTGTAATGGAAAACAACTTAGAAGATTGTATCTAGCTAAACCATCACTGTAATAAGAACTGCTCTCAGTACCTAATGCTTTACTACCGTATTTTAGATAAGCAATTCACATGGGACTTTCTAATATTTCAGGGTAGAAACTTCCACGCAGGGCTGAAATCAATCACTTGAAGTGTTTCCATACAAAAATGGCAGCTATTTCTAAAAAAGTTAGGCTGGCTTACATTCTGCCTGATGTGGGATACATTGCAAAAGAACTCTCAACTTGAAAGTATAAAAATAAGAACTGAAAAAAGATAATTATAAAAGAAAAGAATAAACCTTCCAAACAGTCAGAGGTAAAGATTCCTTTGAAACTGCATGTAGTACAAACATGAAAACACACAGTCCATCACTCACAAAGAGATGCAGTTCTGCTTTCTTGTTCATTTTGTATTACCTAAGAAGAGGCGAGGCATTTAAATCACCTAATTTTCCAGAATTTTATCTTCATTCTCTCCAGTAAGGAATGAAAACAACAACAAAAAAATTCCATGTAATGCAAAAGCCAAGGTAATTAATTTTCTTTCAAAGTAATCTGGGAAAAAAGTTAATTCTTAATAATCACATTGTCTAGGAAACCTCTAAACAATTCTCAGACAAAGGACTGCTCCATATTTATCAGGTCATGAAGGAATGCTTTCCTTACACATGAACTCCCACTTTAGGGTATGGCTCTTGTTTCCCTATACCCAGTATGAGCAATAACTACCAATTCTCACTGGCTAACAGTGGTACTGCCAAGATACTTTCCTTTTCAGATCACCACAGCTTATTCTGATATTCTTCATATATCTTGAGTTACCTTTCCTAAATAATTAGTCTGCTGAGCTTAATCTTGCATGTTGTTTCACATAAGGACAATAACCTTAATAATTTATGTTGGCCTCTCTCTGGCTATAGGGTCATTATTGTGTGGCAGTGTGCAAGATTACCAATTTAGAAATGTGCTTTTCCTAGTCAGAGCTCCATTAATTTTTCAAACATCCCTTTAATTATTAGCCTAAATGTCTTCTGTCCTCATTATATTATATATCCTGACTCAGAGAGCTGCATAGTTCAGGATTGTCCCTGGTCCGTGCATAATGAAATGTAGTTTGTACACTAGTACAATTTAAACAAGTTTGACAAAACAATCCAAACATTCATAGCTGGGATCTGGCCTGTGTACTCAGACCTCTAGCACTCATTCCATATAGTTTTGGACTCTGTTAATACAGCAAGATTTTACATCATAGAGCATAAACTAGAAGCAATAAATGTACAAAAACATAACAGCATAACAGTGGTCTCCCCCTGTAACCTACAAATATAAAATCTACTGGGGCATATTCATTATATGTTTATAGAATCATAGAACCATTAAGGTTGGAAAAGACCTCTAAGGTCATCAAATACAACCATCAACCCAATACCACCATGCTCACTAAACCATGTCCTGAAGTGCCACGTCTATACATTTTTTTAACACCTCCAGCGATGGTGACTCCATCACTTCCCTAGGCAGCCTTTTCCAATGCTTGACCACACTTTCAGTAAATAAATTTTTCCTAATATCCATTCTAAACCTTCTCTGGTGCAACTTAAGGCCATTTCCTCTCATCCTATCACTAGTTACTTGACAGAAGAGACCAACACCCACATCACTACAACCTCCTTTCAGGTACTTTTAGAGTGATAAGGTCACCCCTCAGCATCCTTTTCTCCAAACTAAACAATTTCAGTTCTCTCAGCTGCTCCTCATAAGACTTGTTCTCCAGGCCCTTCACCAGCTTCGTTGCCCTTTTTTGGACATGCTCCAGCACGTGGAAGAGCCCAAAACTGAACACAGGACTTGGGGTGTGGCCTCACCAGTGCCGA